AATAATAATATAAAATAAACAGAGAAAATGGGATGATAAGCACAAAGTTAGATGGACAAATAGAAGATGTCACAAAGTGAAGATCTCTGAGTCTCAGTGTTCTAAAGGTGGATGATAGACGAATAAATCCAACAACAGGAAACTGTTATAATTCCGTGTAAACAGTCGGACGAATAAATGAAAGGAATATGAGTGGATAAGCACAAAGATAGACAAAGAAATAGACAATGATTAAAATAAGTACAATTAATAAAAATTCTATATTAATGTAGAGATGGGATACAGAGTATGGAAACAAGTAATATACCATATATTGTTGTAAATCTATTAAATATGATATACAATAAATAGTGTGGAAACATATAGATATAGAGATGGGATACAGAATACAGAAATAGAAGAAATATAGAAATATACTAAATATATTTCCTTAAACCTCAATCGTATCGATACATATGCTATTCAATATGGGATATAGTATAGTATAGAAATAGTACAGAAGAATGTCTGATGTAATTCGCTCAAGTATTCGCATAGAGAATCTAATCCATTGATATGATATCGTTTGCAGAGCAACCGCCTCGCATGATCAATATGCTGGATACGCAGAATACGGCGCCGGAGCCCAACGAATCCTCTGAAGGCGTTGGCATGGACAGAGGCGCCAGCTCAGCGGCCGCCCAATCGCAGTTTTATCGCACCGAGGGCGGCAGGGGTAAGTAAGTGCTCTCCCTCTCTCTCTCTCTCTTTCTCGCTCGCACTCTCCTGCGCTTGCTCATACTCTTTTTAGCTATCTTATTCGTATATAGCATGAACATTGTGTGTGCTAAAAATTGTTGCTGTTGTTGTTGTTGTTGCTGGATGTTACTGCTGCTGCTGCTGCGGTCGCTTCTACTAACTATCCCAGACGGCAAACTTTTGCCGCGTCGCTTCTCTCGCTTTGTAATCCTTTCAAATGGGTGAGAAAACACAAATCCGCTAAAGTGCAGTCGGTTGTCGGTTAAGCGAGCCTCCCATGAAGACTGAGGCGGAGCCGTTGCTGCTGCTTGTTCTAGCAGGGGTACAGTGAGTGGGGGCGTGGCGGCGTGGCCGGCCGTGTGGGCGTGCAGCACTTAACAGATAGTGCAAATGTTTGCATGCAACTTTTAGTTACATTTTAGCTACACGCTTTATAGCTGTGCTGTGTGTGTGAGTGGGGAAGGGGGGTTGGGGGAGTAGATGTGCAGGCTGCAGCAACAAGCAAACAGAATGCGCAACAACAGCATAAATCATGCTAAAGCCGACCAAACCAACAACCCGCCGTGCTACGCCCCCGCCGCACCGCATCGCATCGCACCGCCAACCCCCAAAGCCCAGCACCCCAGCCCCAGCCCCTGCCGCCCCCGCTCGCGCCCCTCGCATCATTTGGCGCGTGGCCGAAGTAAAAGCAAAGCAAACTTTTTCACAAAGTGCCAAGCAGCAAATGGAAGAAGCAACTGGGCGCCCGCCCACGCCGAGCTGATGTATTAAAAAGTTTCCTTATTTAATTTGTTCGGCGTCCAGCGACAATGGTCGCACACTTTTAAGCAGCACTGTGCGCAGTGCCTGTTGCCAGTTGCCAGTTGCCAGTTGACTGTCGCCTGTTGCCGAGTGCCGACTGCAGCCGCTAATTGCTGTCAACTATTTGCATAGCGCATTTAGCAACAGGCAAGAGGCAACAGGCAACGGGCAACAGGCCGAATGACAAATTGAAAGGAAATTGACAGACGTCCTGGGCTGGCGATGGCCTCCCCTGAGCCCAGCTCCCTGGCCAGCGGTTAAGCGACAGCGGCTCGCCGACAGTTCAGCTAAAAGTATGACAACCAAAATGAGCTGTAATGCGACTTGGAATGTTACTTATAACAAAATTTAAAAGAGATATATACAGTGGAGTACCGATAATTTGAAATGTGAAGGTGATGAGTTTTTTATCGAGAATTATCGAGAGCGATTTTTATTCAAGAGAATAGAATCTTTTTCAATTTATTACGGTTTTTGATTTAATGGAGTACAAATTATCGAGACGCGACTGTTTAAAAAAATATTTTAAAAATATTAAATATATTTTTGAGTGCCATATTTCACTATGAAGGGTTCATTCAACATATGTAGAGGAGAAAACTTTCAGAAATACTTGCATACTAGGTACTCCACTAGATTAGTCATATATAATAATCAGAGAGGGAAAAGGCAGAAAACTATGCTTCTTGCAGGACATTCAATATCATTTAAATAGAGTGGGAAGATCTGATGAATGTCTGGGTACAGGCAACTCAGCTAGGCATATATTTATAAACCAAGTCGATAAACCCAGTTGTCAGTGCTTAAGTCTTGGATTACTCTCAATTTTAGATTATTTATAATCTCATTATAAATATATTTATATATAGAATCCACTTCAATGGATTCTTGGAATTCGACTTTCAAGAAGTAGGAAAGTATTTTAGTTATGACCATATCCGTTCGACCGTTCCTCCTTCAGTTGGTCAACACGTTCGTCTGTCCAATACTTGAATACATCCGTCCTTCAGTCCGTCTGTTCGCCTGTTCGTCTTTCCCGTTCCACATTCTTTTTGTCGCTCCCTCTATACGTCCGGCACTCCAACTGCCCGTCCAATGCCCCGTGTGTCCGTCAGTCGGTCCTCTGCCTGCCTGTCCGTCAATCCGTTCATCTGTCCTACACTCCAGCTGCCTGTCCCTGCGTCACTTTGTCTGCTCGTCCGTCCGCTCTTCCTTCCCATCGTCCGTCCGGCCATCCGGCCGACAGTTTGTCTACACATATTCCAAATATTGTTTAATCACTGCCAAACTAATGCCTGCCGCTTCTTTCAGTCAATGCTAAACAATAAATGTATATGAAATGTAAAAGTGATTCCATGCTCAGACAGAGACCTCGCAGAGCAAGTGGCTCGGCATATTAAAATTGCAATATCTAAATGGATCGCGCTGCATTGAAAGTGGCTTCGGTTTGTTACCGAAGCATTTCAGCACTCAAAGCGAACTACAAATTGGGCCACACGCAATGCGGAGGAGCTGTAGCCAGTTCCCAGTGGAGGCAGTCGCTAAAGACGAATGCACATTGGGCGGCCATTCAGAAGAGAGCATCCATCATCGAATGCAAATGGGGCCAGAGTCAAAGTGGCTGGCGAGCCACCCAACCACCCTGTATACACATATATATATATATATCGACACACCCAGCCACTGAAGGAGATTCAGCATTCAGTTAAATTTATTTGTCAATGGCAAAGAAAAGCGCAAAGTTGAGGCTGAGAAACCCAAGTTGGAGCTGAAGTTGATGTTGGAAGTTGAAAGTTTGGAAGTTTGCACGCTTGTAACCAAGAAGCGCACTAGAAAGATGGACAAAACTCGAACACACACACACACACACACACACACACACACATAGCGCAAAAGTTAGTCCTTGAATAGTGTTCGCTGCGGGGCAAAGGCAGCAGCAAGTGGCAAAAGGGGGTGGGGGACGGGGGACGGGTGGCAAGGGGCGTCGGCTATGAGCGTGGGCGAGACAGCTCGACATGAATATTAATTATGAATTTATAATTTGATAATCTTATTAAATTAATTTGAAATTCTGTCGGGTCGGAGTTAATTTAAAGTTAGTGCCAGGCTGTCGACTCCCCATCATCCCACACCCCGTCGCCTGCAAAAAACTTCTAACACATCCTCTGCTGCTGGCAGCCACGCCCTACCATCGACCCGTTTTGATTTTGCATATGAAATTTAATGACATGTTAATGCGATGCACAATTAAATGATTAACGAGTCGACTCGACTTGCCACTTGCCACTTGCCYCAGCGGTGGGCGTGGCCAGTGCTCTTTAGCGCCCGCAGCCGTAAATAGACGCGATAAATATCGCTGGGCCACTTAGAGCAGGAAATGTGGCGCCCGCCCAAAGCGAAGAATAGAAAAGAAGAAAATAAAAAACTCGAATTGTTCAGATCTCGTGCCGAAATTGGAGGCGCGAGCCATTGAAATGTTGGCGCACCCAGCCAAATTTAGATGTTAGCCGGCCCCCACCGGGCCCAAGGCTGCCCTCCCTCTTTATCGATCAATAGTTGGACCGATCGATCGATCGATCCAATCCAATCCGATCCGATCCGATCGTTCGCTCATATAATACAAAGTTTATGCGCTGTGCCTCAATTGTGTCACGATTTGCTGGCAACGGCTCTGACATTGGCAGCGGCAGCTGAAATAACACCGAAGCGGGAGTGAACGACCGGCAGATACCCTGCCAGGGTCAGCCAGCTGACATTGGGTTATTGAGAAAGTATATTTTTGTTTAACTCGCAATGTGAGCGTATTTTGAAAATATTTATATTCAATTGATTTTGCTTAAAATCGGAATAATATATAGCTTATATATCGTAGTGAAATTCTGAAAGTAAATTTACTTTCCGTCAGTTCAAAGCTCTCCCTATTTATCTATATGAACCTCTATATCACGCTGTCTCTCTCTACCTCTCGCTCTTTCTCTTTCAATTAATTTTTTCTGTCACCGCCGTCAACACTTACGCTCTATTATCCCTCATACTCTCTTATTCACTCACTCTCTCTCTCTCTCTCTCTCTCTCTCTCTCTTTCTCTTGATCTCACTCACTACCGCTCGCTCTCCTTTCTCATCTCGTTTCAGGTTCTCTTCCCCTTTCTTCGTCTATATATGTATATATTTATCTCTACTATCTCTCTCTCTATCTATATATCTCTCTATCTCTACCTCTCTCTCTCACTCAACTACTCTCTATATCTTAATCATAACCTCTTTGTATTCCATCTCTCTCTCTCTCTCTCTCTCTCTCTCCATCTATCTTTCTCGCTCTCTCTCTCTCTCTCTCTCCATCTATCTTTCTCGCTCTCTCTCTCTCTCTCCATCTATCTTTCTCGCTCTCTCTCTCTATCTTTCTCGCTCTCTCACCCTTTCTCTCTCCCTCAATCACTTCACTTCACTCTAAATCGCTCTCTCACTCTTTCAATTATACGCTCTGCATTGATCAGGTCATTATATACCCAGCCCCACCCTTCGCTCATGTACAGGGTATTGCAACAATTGCAAGAGCAACAACTGCAACAAACGATTGTGACTAAAAACAACAAACGAAGCAATTTGCATTGCAGCAATCAAAACACACGACGCTAATTTTAGTACACAAAAGGCGGCATTGACGACCTTAGACTGCCTGCCCCCCTCCCCCCACTTATGGGCGTATGGTGGGCGTGTCAGCTTTAATGCAATACCGATCGAGCGCCTTAATGCGCGCAGTTATTGTTGTTGCAGCAGCAACAACAGCAACAACAACAACAAGTCGTTTCGCCTGCTTTTGTGGCTGCTTTAGTTTCAGCTGCTGAATCGGATTTCGAATCGGATTCCGTTTCTGTTTTTATTTATTTTTGTTTCTGTTTGTGGACGCGCTAATTGGCATTGGCTATAAAGACATAAATTCTGCAATTAAATTGTAAACAGAAACACGCAACGAGATTCGTTGATCTGTGCATCTGTGCGATTTGTCTAATAACTCTACAACTTCTCTCTCTCTCTCTTCTCTCCCCTCTTCACAGTTTGCGAAAAGTGCAAAGTCAGCACCAAAAGGTTAAATCTCAACAAATTCTGCAAAAGAGACTACGGTAAGTCTAAATGGAGTATCTAGAAACATATAAAATTTATATATCCTCAATCACTCACACTCTCCCTCTCTCTCTCTCTCTCTCTCTCTCTCTCATTAGCAATAATGGCAAAAGTAATTGGTCGCGATACGAGCAGCGAGGCGGCCAGTATCGAGCGCAGGCGCGCAATGGATCCGTACGGGGACTACGAAATGGATCAACAGGCAATGGGCGGGCTGGAATACGAGTATCGGGCGGGACCGGGGCCAGCAGCAGCCTTGGCTGGCATCAGCAGCAGCGCCAGCGTGCCGGATTACCCAAACGACAGCGACACGGCCCGGTACGATCTGCTAATCCAAGCGGTTTTCAAGCGCAGCAGAACCACCGCCTATGGAATGCCGAATACAATGCTGAAACGAGGTCCTATGACCTGGATCATACCGATTAAGAATTTAGAGTGCCACTGTCCCAGGATCAAAGTTAACAGGTGAGTGTACGACTACAGGTACCGCTGCACTCATCATGAGTTTCGTTTCCTTGAATATCGGACTATATATGTAGGTGTATACAGTCTCGATCAACTTTCGTGAGAATCGCATAGTAGAGCAAATAACTTCTTAATGCCTTGCCTCTACTCATTCCTCAACTCTGTTTGTCGTTGCAGATCATATTTGATTATGGGGCGTGACTCGGAGGCGCCGCCCGGCTATCTGGGCGTTGGTCCGCGTACGATAGTTATTGAATGGAAGGACGATTGGTATCGGCGCATGAAGCGGTTCCAGAGGAGGGCGCGCAGCTGTGCGTAGATGAGATGACCCACCGTCCCCACATTGCAGTGGCCATCTTTGTCACACAAATATTTTGTCTGTCACTTGTCAATTTCATTTACCTACCTTCAAGCTATATATACTTTTTTTTTACTAAACATATGTGTAGATTGTAGAGCTTAAATTTAAGAATTTCAAATCAAATCAAAGCGTCGCAACTCAAGTGAATATATTTATATAAATATACATATATACTTTTTTTTTTTGCTTAGAATCATAGACCAGTATTCACTCACTGATACAGCAGATTGAAATAATGAAAAACGCTTTGGCAGTTACGCGCCAAACTATTTGAATTATGAAACGTGAACAGCGCTGCCACCCCTGCAGCACTGCCATTGCGTGCAATATATTTCTGCTTAGCAATGAGTGCGAAACTATCGCCATAGAGAAGAGCAATTCAAATATAATGACAGCAATTAAACATCAACATATATTTTATGTTCTATTTTTTTTTTTTTTTTTTGCAATATTATAATTTTACTAACAGCAGCATTTAATTTGATTTGTTTAGCATTCTAAGGCCTACATAGCTGTATTTAATTTATTTAATTAACTTTAATTGTTATTTGACTATCAACATATCTATATATGCACATACATATATATGTATGGAATCTTTATAATTTGTATTATTTTGTATGATAAGAGCGCAGTCTTGAACATTCTCTCAGCTTTCCCTATTTCACAACAATAAGAATTTATCAGTTAACAACAAATGTGAGCAACAATAACTACAATAGTCCACAAGTAAAACAGCAAAAGCATATTAGCCCGATTAAGCATTAATATATATAAGCAATGTACGCACCTATGTCAAATCTTAAACAAGTGTTTTAAAATGCAAATAAATAGATATTGTACAGTGCAACTCACAAATTATGTCTTTTCTCTTGGTTGAAATAATGGAATGGCATCGGGATTATCGCGCCAAATTATTTGAATATGAAACACTGCTAGCGTTGCCATCTCGGAAGAGCTGCCAGTGCGTGCAATATATATCGGATGTTCACACTCATGAGTCATGATGTCCATCGCCAAAGAAAGCAGAAATTTAAATATATTGTGAATTGATTTTAACAATAATTAAGTACGTATTTTATTTTGAGAGAAAACACCTGTCTGGTCATGAATTTTTGTATGTGTAGCATTGCTCGTATTATATAGCTGTGTGGGATGTGTTTGGCGTACATAAAATATTTTTGAATTCAAAACAAATAAACAAAAGCTAAAATTATTTTCATATATGTACATAAAAGCGAAATGGCAGCGTAAATTAAATTTTATATTTAACGGCTGTATCTATCGTATGCAGCAAGCTATGCAAGATCACTGGTCAGTGGCAAGATCGTACATGTTTTTGTGGTCGATATATCGATAGCTGTTGCGATATCAGAGTCAAACTAGTAAACATCGGACGCGCCAAAAATCATTCGCGAAAAGTGTGTCCCAATTCGAGCGTCAGCCAGGATTCGCAGATCGTTGCAATTGTGGTATAGAATACAATTAAAGTGAGGATGAGCACAAGCCTGGACGAGTCAATATGCGCGTATTTCGTCAACAACACAAAGAGCGACACAGAGGCCGACTTGGCCATCGCTGAGCTGTATGCCAACGCACTGCAGCTGATGCGCGAGCAGCTGGAGGACACGCAAATTCGTGAAATTCGTCCAAGTGAAGGCTTTCCGCTGATCGCCGGTGGGGGGCTGACGAAAAAGGATGTCTTCGTGCTGGCTCAGTTCGAGGGCGAGCTATTCGAGCAGCTGCAGCTGACCAAGGCGCTGGTGCTGGGCCCACCCTGTATTGTGGCGTGCCTGCAGGAGAACGCGCCCGTTCCACTGGGCAGCAGTCCCATTTACGCCACGGCTATGCGTGACCTGCAGATCTCGGCTAGCGGCATCAGCAGCAAAGAGAAGGAGGACATTAAGAAACTGATCCACTGGATGGGCGGTCATTATTTCCAGAACTTCGGACGCAACATCACACATCTGATATCCAATACAATCAAGTCGAACAAGTACGAGCACGCCACGCTCAACGATGTGCCCGTCATGCACACCGACTGGGTGCAGGGCGTCTGGGCGTGCTGTCGCAGCGGCGCCAATGGCACCAGCATCAGCGCCACGGATCCACAGTTCGACAAGTATCGCCTGCCCACGTTCTTCGGCGCCAACATCACGTGCAGTGGCCTGGACACGGCGCGCAAGGAGGCGGTGATGCGGCTGGTCAATGAGAACGGCGGCATCTATCATCGCGCCTTCCGCTCCCAGCAGGTGGACATCGTCATCACGGAGCAGTCGAAGACCGACACCGAAAAATACAAGGCGGCGCTGCGCTTCAAGAAGGACATCCTGCTGCCCGAGTGGATATTCGATAGCCATGAGCGCGGCTATGCGCTGCCCACCAAGCAGTACGAGGTGCGGGCCGGCAAGCAGGTCTCCACGCCCACTAAGCGCCACCATGGCAACCATGGCAGCCATGCCAACCAGACGGCTGCGGACAACACACAGCTCTCGGATCTGTCGCGCATCAGCTTCGTGAGTGCGCCGGGTCGTCGCATGTGCAGCGACAACACCACGCTCAACGAGACCGTCAGCAGCAACTGCAGCATCGGGACACGCAGCGGCGGCGCTGGGGGTGCCGGTGGTGGGGCCAGCGGCAGCGGCCTGCTCAAGCAGGCCACCAGCAATCATAAGCAGCAGCTGTACCAGGAGACGCTGGCGGAGATTAGCCCGCGCAAGGCCAAGAAGGCGGGCAGCTTTCTGGACGGCTGCTGCGTCTACCTGAGCGGCTTTCGCAGTGTCGAGCGGGAGAAGCTGAATCGCGTGCTCAACACGGGCGGCGCCACGCGCTACGACGAGCTGCACGAGGGCCTCACCCACATCATTGTCGGCCAGCTGGAGGATGCCGCGTATCGGCAGTGGCAGACGGAGGGTTTGCTGGCCACGGTGCAGGTGGTGCGGCTCGAGTGGCTGCTGGAGAGCATTCGCGCTGGGCGCATTGTCAGCGAGCTGCCGTATCGGGTCTCCGTGCCGCATCTTGCCAGCGAGGCCACCGACGCCCCCTCGCCGGCCAGCAAGCGCACGTTGCGCTCCATGAATCACAGCTTCAAGCAGCCGTCGCTGCCCATCAAGAAGAAGCTCTTTGATGGGCCCACAGATGCCGGCAATGCTCCACCGGAGCCGGAGCCAGAACCGGAGCTAGAACCGGACCTGCTCACGCACTACTCGCAGGAGCAGGAGCCAGCCATGCCGCTGCCCGCCGCCAGCTCGACGCAGCTCTCGCTGAGCGGACTCACAGCTGCAGCGCCCGCCTCGGCCGCCGTTCCACTGGCCGTCGCCCTGCCCGACCTGAGCGCCAGCACGCTCTCCATCGACTTCGACAAGCTGGACTACTTCAGGGGCGCCTCGGTGTACGTGCACGAGCCGTGCTTCAGCAGCGAGCTGTACGAGCAGATGCTCAGCGAGTGCAAGGCCGCCCAGGGCTGCCTGGTGCCGGCGAGCTACACGGATCCGGTGGACTATGCCATTGTCAGCTTCGAGCAGGCGCTGGATGAGGCCACGCTGCCGGTGCAGGCGCGTCACGTGGTCACCGAGCTGTACCTGGAGAGCTGCATGAAGCAGAACGCGCTGCTCCCGCTGGAGTACTACCATCGGCCGGTGCCGCACACGGCCAGGCTGGAGCCGCTGCGCGGCATGACCATTGTGGTGTCCATCTATGCGGGACTGGAGCGCGACTTTATCAATGCGCTGGCCGAGCTGCTCGGCGCCGTGCTGAACAAGGCGTTCGTCAAGAAGGAGCGGCCGCTGCTCATCTGCTCCAGTGCCGAGGGCTCCAAGTACGAGGGCGCCCTGAAATGGGGCTACCCGGTGGTCCGGGCCGACTGGCTGGTGCAGTGCGCCCAGCGCGGCGAGAAGCTGCCGTATGCCCGCTTCCTGGTGGGCAAAAGCGTCAGCGACTTCCCCGTCTCGCCCGGCCTCAAGGAGAGCAACAGTAAGAGCAACAAGAGCAACAAAACGCTGACGCCCAAGAACCAAGGGAAGACGCCCGCCACGCCGCAGGAGAAGGCGGCAGGAGTGGAGCAGCAGTCGACGCTGGTGGAGGAGGAGGATAAGGAGCAGCAGCCGCTGCAGCCGGAGCTGACGCCGCTGCGCAACCCGCGCATCTCCGAGCTGGTCACGGGTGTGGCCAGCACGCGGCGGCGCAGCTCGAGCGGCACCACGACGCCGGAGTCGCCGCACACGCCGCTCAATCAGAAAACCAGCGCCGGCGCGTGCAACTTTGACTTCCTGGAGCAGGTGGTGCAGCGGCTGGACACGAGCCAGGCGCGCGACTGTGTGCGCCAGATAATCCGCGAGATGCGCGAGAACCAGACACCCGAGCTGGAGCGGATCAGGCGGCAGGCCTGCACGCCCGTCAATCGACGCCAGGCCTCGAAGCCTGCGCCCGGCATACCCAACTTCTGCCTGACGCCCGAGTTCCAGCAGCGCATGGCCGACGACTTCGAGCGACGCTGGCGCCTGCCCAAGCACCAGATCAAGCCGGACACGCCCATAACGGTCATTCGACAGCGCGTGATGCGCATCACGTGCGAGACGCTGGGCATCGACTACAGCGACAGCGAGAATGAGGGCGTGCCAGTGGCCGATCATCAGCCCAAGAGTATGGTGGAGCAGCCGGTGGGTCGCCTCCTGTTCCAGGCGGGAGCAACTGCAGCTGGTGCTGCAGCTACAGCCACAGCGCCTGGCTCCCCGTTCGTGCCCAGCACACAGAGTCCCAGTGGCGCAGGTGCAGCGGATGAGCTGCCCAGCGCCAGCACCATCAACTTCGACAAGATTAGCTTCGAGGAGTCGGCGGCCGAGAACTCGCTGGAGCTCAAGCAGCTCACCGACTACCTGAAGAGCCGCGAGTCGCGGCGCAGCAGCCTGAAGCGCGACCACGAGGGTCACGCCAGGAGCGAGGTGCAATACGTGCAGCCCTTCGAGTCGGAGGGCTTCGCCATGACCGCCGGCGAGGATATTGTGGGCTGGCGAGATCCCGCCGAGTTCAACCTGGGCAAGCGGAGCAGCGACGGCGAGTCGTCGCGCATGATCTACCAGGGCACGCCCTGCTTCAGCATCTCGTGCGGCGACGACGAGGAGAAGCGCATGCTGCTCATGGAGCGCATTCGGCTGCTGGGCGGCCAGATCTGCCAGAATCTGTCCAACTATGATCCCGCCTGCACGCATCTGCTGTGCGAGCGCCCCAATCGCGGCGAGAAGCTGCTCGGCTGCATGGCAGCCGGCAAATGGGTGCTGAACATCAGCTACATCGAGGAGTGCCACGCCCGCGGCGTCTTTCTGGACGAGTCGCTCTACGAGTGGGGCAATCCCAAGGCGCTCAATTTGCCCACCCTGGCGCCGGAGGAGCAGCAAATCGCAGCCGCTGCGCACCGCTGGCGGCTCGAGCTGACGCCCGACAGCGGCGCCTTCAGCGACTACCGCGTCATCCTCAGCCTGCAGGAGCGCAATCTGGCGGCCATCAAGAATGTGCTGCGCGCTGGCGGCGCCACGATCCTGGAGCCCAGCTCACCCTTCAGCGCCGACCCCGCGTCAGCCACTGCCACCCACTGCTTCGTCGATGCCAAGAAGGCGCCGCTGGCCGCAAAGGACTTTGCCTATCTGCAGCAGCATGGCGTCCGCATCATGTCCCAAATGTGCATCAATAGCTACCTGATGGGCGGCCGGGACGCCAATCTCGAGAAGTACGTCCTGCGCCAGTGAACGATGCAAATTCTCCAGTTTCTTATCTATTTATATATTCATTTTTTTTCGCTTTTTTTTATAATTTTTTGCTTTGTTAAAATTTTCTTCATGTTAATTAATGTCGACTCTGAGGAGCAGACCCGACTTTAGTCTGATTTCAATATAGCTCTAAGATTTGCGATTAAATAAATGTTCGTTTAGAAGTAACAAGACCTGAAGTTCCTTTTCTCATAAGCCTTGAATGATCGAACTCCAGCTTTGGAGCAGTTGATTCATCATATAGGACTGGGTCACTCAGTATATAAGACTGCGATTGAAGCACTATATCTGACTTTCTGCTTGTACGTATTCAATTGAATGATGAATCTTTTCCAGATAATGGAAACAATGTTCTATGACTCCCAATTATTATTGAGAGTTCCTCTGTGCAAACGATATTAATAAAAGCATCATATATCATATTAAATATTCTCCGAATTACGAGAAAATGCAGAACTATCATATATCATTTGCACAAAGAAATTCTCAATAATAATTGAGAGTCAGTCATACATCCATATATCATTTTGAATGATAGCTATACTATATCACATATATATTGTAGTAATCCATATAATACATTATGTCAAATAAACCCCAAGTCTAGGGAGAGTAAAATTTCAAAAAATTATCTTAAACTATCGATAAGAAAATCTTCAATGCAAAAATTCTATTTCATAGTTTTTACATATTTTATTTTGTGTTACACAATAAGGAATATTAAGTTGATTTTCATGTTACGTGCATGTTTATAC